GTAGCAAAGTTTACACACTGTGTCTACTTGATCCACGTCTGACTCCGTGAACCATAATGTTTCCACACCACTGAAGTTTTTTTACCTCTTTTCAACCAACGGCAGTCACTCTCCTCTCCAAATAACTTCTGCTTAGCTTTCCGAGCTTCCCTCGGGTCCTCTTATTGTTGTGACGCGTGTTCGAAACGCAGAGCGGTGCGCTCGATTTGCCGCACGGAGCAGCGCGAGAGTAAAGCACAAGGGAGGGGCTAATAATTGGCTCAGTCATTTTTAATGATCGTTGAAAGCCCAGATCGTAATTTAGATTAAAATTCGATTAATTGAGCAGCCGTAAAACAAAGTAACCAAATACACACAGCAATGCAGAAACATCAAAAGGAAGTGAGACGATGAATAATAATCCATTTTCTAAAAGCAAAATGAGGCTGAACAGACATTCAAGAGAAACGGAGAGTGTATGAAAGAGATGCACATAACTTCAAAGAGTGTGACACACCACAGGCAAATAACATAACTGCATTAACAGGCCTGTTATGGTTTAGTATAATGAAGGGTCCGATCACCTGAACTGAACTATGTCGCTGTCATCTGTGGTACGGAATTAACTCCTAACAGGGATCCTGTAATATGTTCTGTTTCTGCTGATGTAGGCTAGAAACAAACGGTTAAAAGACCTACATGGTGTAGGTCTTTTAACAGTTTGCATCATAAGAAACATCATCACTTTGTTTGAAGTCTGCATGAAGTTCTTCCTGTTGGTTTGCTCCAGCGTGTGTAAACTGCTCCTCATCTTAGACCAATCAAACTGTTTCAGAGGCGTCTCTAAAGGGCAAGTCCAGAGTAAGGGGCTTACATCTTCATTTAGTTTGCTGTACTGTGCAGACAGTGGAAATGCTGAGCATCAAAATGATGTACTGCTTCAGACTGCAGACTGAAACTGTTAATGATTTGATGAAAACTCTTCACCACAAAACGCCAAGACAAAAATCACATCAGTGATTTACTGCCTTTCACATCCACGTCTGACCAAACGTATCTTATATATATGGTTTGACCTTATAACAGCTTGTTTAGTTCCAGCTCACTGAGGCCGTTGGTGGCTTATGGGCATAAATGGGAAGTGGAAGGGCTATCCATAGATTCATTCTGGTTATTGCTTTAAATAACAGCCAAGTGTTTCTGCAGGACATCATGAAGTCACTGCAACACAGACCTTTCCTTTTAATGCAAATTAACACTTTCTAAATTTCAAGAATTTCCCTCAAAGTATGCAAGAGTGGTGCTTTCATCAGAGTGAGGAGGACGGACCTCAAACACCGAGACAGATGGACAGCCAAGCAGCATGGAGGCATAAAAAGACGAAGACAGAGTCACTGCAAGCTGGTGTGAAGCAGGACCGGCTGCACTGTGTTCTTTAGCACAGGAGTGTGTAATGTGCTTTTATATCTAACAAAGTAAGACAAAAGTATTGAACTTCTATTTTTTTAATTGGCCCAACTGTGACAGTCTTTCCGTTTGTGATGTTTTTGATGAAACGCTTTTCGTTTCCACTGCTGGGAAAAACAAATCTGCAGTAAGGCTAAAATCAAGACTGATACGCTATCGAGTTAAACGTCCTATTGTGTTTCAGTATGAGTCCCGGGGGAAAAATCAATCAATCAATCAATCAATCAATGACAGCTCCTCAGTGGATTCGGGTCTCTGCTGCCAGACCCAGCGGCTAATAACCCGTCTTTTGTTTGCGATGGCACGTGCGGGGATCTGGCTGTTGTTGAGTTACAACAAATTAAAATAGTCCTGATGGCAGAGGCAGGAAAGTTGTCCTTTAAACACCATATAATGTATTTAAAGGGCTCAATGCCCACAAATATACTGTGACTAATGCGCTGCGTTTCATTTACTGTTGGCCTTTCTAAACATGCTGCCCGTGACCGTGGCCGTTAGTTTGGTTCACATTTAATTCAAAAGCCATTTTTTAAGTTAAGTCAAGTGTTCTTCTAATAATTTCAGTGTTGCTCAAAATCCACGACTCAAAAACACATCACAGTGTAACAGCAAACCTCATGGACATCATCCTGCATCAACCATCAAGAATCGATTTTCATGCTTTCTTGTAAATCGCAGTGACAGCAGGTAACAACAAGACCCCCAAACAGAGCATGGTTTAGCAGGTGGTGGCCACAGATCGCTGCCCTCTCCTTATTCCTTGAATAATTTTTTTCTCTACGCTGCTTTTTGCCTGTTTTTTCCACTGCTGGTAGCGTGAGATAACCGCAGCCCAATTAAGTCCCACAGGCCGTCCAACTGCGCCAAGAGTGGCAAATCGATATGTGCCGTTATAAGAAGGTTTTTTTGGTGCTTCCCAGTACATTCTGAAGAATGTGGAAAAGACACCAGGACATCAACCCAGCAACAGGACTGGTATCTGCTCCTTTGTGTGAACACAAACAGGAAGAGCAAGCTAACAATACAAAGTGACCTCCAGCATGCTACTCATGCACATATCGGACCAAACCGCCAGAAACCAACTTCATGAGGTTGGCATGGGGCTCTAGAGTCCTTTAGTGGGACATGTGCTCACAGACAGCACTGTGTGGATCAACTCATTTGACCTGAGATCATCATGAGAACTGGCAGGTCTGGCAAAGCACCCCATTCTCTCCACAGATGCAAAACTGAGCCTGTGACAGATGTCAAAGAGTCTGGGGACGCCGTGGCGTGAGCTTCATCCAGCATGAAGGGCAGTGGGTCAGTGGTGATTTGGGGAGGAAGTTTTTGGAGGGTTATTTAGACCTCCATATGCAGGCACTGGTACCCTGCCAGAGGATGAGCATCAACAACCGGTTCTTGTAGAGAAGCAGTTCCCGGTAAGTTTGATTCCTTGGAGTTGTTAATCTGTTTGCCTATCGATTTCGCTTACTGTGCTACAATCAGCTCAATCTAGTTCGAGTGCAGGAGAAGGAAAATGGTGGCTCACTCTGCACTGTATAGACCTTACTCTCTTATTCCACAAAAGGACAGAAGCATGATATTTAAGTGGAAACTGCATCCAGGACAGAAACAACTGCATCATGCTGCTAACACAACTTCAGCTCTTTGCTAGCACCTGCACAGATAGCATGCTAACGCTAAGCTAGCCAAGACCCCAGAGTGATCTTAAAGCTGAGAGAGTGCTGACTCCAGCTCCCAGCCAGACCCTGAACTTCAACAGGTAACAAACTGATGAGCCGTCAGGCTAAAGCCTGTGTTTCTATCTGTTCATGTTTCTAAAGTAGAATCACCATGACGATCGCTTTGAAGTCTTTCTATAATGGTTTCCATCTTTGGTTTGTGTTCATACCTAAATACGAAGAGAAAAATCGTTCATTGTGTTGGTGTGTATGACAGTAACCTATAGGTCTAGATGGTTAAATGGTAATTATGAGACGATGTTTCATGTCATTTTAAGAAGAAACACAAAAGTAATGTAACAAATTCAGTAATGTACTGCATTACTTTTAAGAAAATGTTCCGTGCAATATGTGCAACAGTTACTTTTTTTAACGATGGCCCCAACACTGATCACATCAAAGAGGGGAAAACCTCAAACATTTGATCCACAGCATTTAAGTGTTATATTTTTGATATGCTGCTAGTGATGGTGGTGACTCAAAGCAGAACCAGTGAGAACCCAGTGAGGACTGATAAGGAATAGACTCCAGTGTGGGAAACGAGGACGTGACTCGAGAAGCTTTGGGATCTATCAGTGAATCTGAACCCACCAAACAGCACCAGAGTTTACCCAGTGGCTCACTAATGCCCCAGGACACCACATGCCGTCTCATCGGTTGTATGTCCAGATGTTGTCGAGAGTGCGTCCAGGCATGTGGGAGCAACTTTGATCAGCCTGAGATTTCAGCTTTTAACTCTGACATTTGGTGTGATTTTGAATCAAGTCGATCATTTTGTTCTCAGTAAATTAGACACAAAGAACATCCGTACAGATTTTCAGCTCGAGTATTCGTGCATTGAGTCCCATGTGTGACTTCCACGGTTCCTTTCATTTTCTTGAGCAGTGCAATAATCCAGCAGCTCTAGCACTCACCACAAGGTGCTTTACTGTCTCAGGTAAAGATACTACAACATGAATCCCCTCACTGCATATCAACAAAACAAAGACAGGATCTGATTCTGTTTCCATTCAGCTTCTTTCAGGACTTTAAAATATGCTGATTCTGCCTTTGTCCTGATTCACAGGCTCAGCTCAGGACACCTCAAACAGATGTGTGTGTGAGCTCACCATCAAGACGCAAGTACTGAAAGTTGCGGTATCCGAAATAGTCCTCCATGATTGTCATGAGAGTGGTCATCTGGCAGAACAGCAGCACTCTGTGGTTGGTGGCCTGGAGCTTCGGTAGGATGCGATCGAGGAGCTCAAACTTCCCAGATGCTCTATACAGATCAGGCCTGAGTGCAGACAGTAAAAACAAGAAATGGATCATAAACTTTTATTAATAGACTTTTAAAGCCTGCGTGGCATCTAGTGTGACAGCAGTGAATGGTTTCAAATTGGCCAATGAAAGCCTGACTCAGAGCAACAGCTGAGGCAGCTCTGGGCTTTTGCATCATCTCTGTGAAAACATGTTCACTAAAGCTTTGAAGAACATTATGAAACATCCACACATTATCTGAGCTTTTTAATCTGTCCTCTGTCTCCTGGAACTTGAAGCTACTTTAATTTTTCTGTTTCTTCAGCGTGATTTGTTTATTAAACAGCTCCAATGGGTAATATGAGAATATACAGCTGGATTTCTTTCATTACCAAGACTGTGTTGTTAAAAACTCTGTCTCTGTCCATGGTTTGATTTCTTCACACGTGTGGATTCAAAAGCAGCTTTAGAAATACATTTACTCAGGAAATTGGTGACATGTTCGATCCTTATTTTCCCTGCTGTATGTCACTGAAACATCCTGCTCTGTTAACGAGCGTGTCACTGACCACAGGAGCTCCATGAAGAGACAAACATCAGTTAAACCCAAACACACAGGCGCTGATGTTAATTCTCTCTGAAGAACAGAGGATCTGTTCGCATTTTTAAAAGCTTGCTGCTGTTTACAGCAGGTATGAACAAGGACTTCTCAATAAATGAGTTTCTACAGTGGTTTTTATTATTCATCATGTTTTATGTGCACGATGCATCTTTTATTAAGTAGCTTGTATAATGTTTTATTTTCTCTTTGCCTTGAATCATACTTTTTTTAAACTAAAAGACTTTTCTGTTTATCGTGAACTATTTTTAGGTCAAGATACCGAAGCGGAGCAAAACTTTAACACCTCACCTAAAGTGAACGTTCCCAGTTCATGCAGCAAATAAGGTGATACTCCACTGGACACCCCCCATTCAGGTATGTTGAGGTGAATCACTGGTGACACCTATGCTATTTAAAACAACGTCAGTAATATGTTTTATAACGAGCGTGACGAATGCTGCAAATAATAAGGTTTCAATTTACGATGAGAGCTTCTCGAGCTTGAACCTTTTCAGACTTTACGCTCTTCTTTGCACGCCGTGGAACCTTCACTGTCTCCACAAAAATGGGACAAAAGCACGCCTGTTTTACTGGAATGTTTTGTAGTGAAAATCCTGCAAAATTAGCGCTGTGCGATATGACCAACATCTCATATTCCCATATAAGACATTTATCGTCCAGACAACGATATAAATCACAAAAGTTTTACATTTTCTGTAAATTCTGTGAATCTCAGGCAGCTCGACTTGTTTTCAGCTGGGGGTCGTGTACCTGGAGTCGAGCGCTACATAAGTTGAAACGGCCGCAATTTCCTTTGTGAGCATTTATTGCACGCCGTGCTGCGGGGAAAAGCCTGTTCTGAGGTTTAGAGATCCTCGTGCCTGACGCAGCATTAGGCGGCGAGCTTAACACTTCAAACTTTGACTCTCGCTCCAGCGCGCTGCATACCCCTTCCATGAAATCGGCGCTGTCTTTCACGTCGTGTTCACGTGTCCTGTTCCTGCAACACAGCAGGCTGTTTCTGGCATGTTCCAAAGCAAAGCTGCAATCTGTGATCTAAACGTGGACCCATTCTCACACGAGGGGTTTGAGGTGAACTGCTGCTGTGAATAATTGCTATCTGGTGCCAATTAGTGCCAAGCACAGCAGAGATGCAGCAATTATCTGACACGTTGGCTTCTTGCATGTGAAACCTCGTCATCCTGAATTAGCTGTTAAATGATTATACACAAACTGACGAGCTCTATCACTGCACTCATGTAAACTGACGTAAACAATATTAATCATTCACTTTCATGTGTGGATTTTTTTATCATTAATAAAGATGAAATTAAAAGCAAACGTTCATGGCAGGAAATCCTGAATCTCTGCAGAACTAAATATAGCAGTTAAGTGCTTAACGATGTCTGAGCATCAATATGAGCTTAAATCACTGTTAAATCTTTATTTTACTTATTTACTCAGCCCATGCACGAGCATCTACAGCACTGCCTTAAATCAAATGTGTTTTTCAAAGCACAAAACAGATCGATTGGCCACTGTATTATTATGTTTTCATAACAGTAACAGTGCAACAGTGAAGGACACGAGGTGTTTGATCGTACGACTTACCCACTGATGATGCCGTTCGGATAGCCCAAGTGCTCAGCAAAGGATTCCTGCAATGGAGAACATCAACTAGTCAAAGCAACACAGACAACTAAGTCCTGTAAACAGCAAATATATGACTTCTTGTGAACATGTCACAAGATTTGCAACAACAGGCAGGTTTTAACCAGCTGATCTATCAGTTCTGTTTCTGTGTGGGGACCTGAGAACATTAACAAACACAAGAACTAAACATCAATGAAAACCTTACTGTTTGATCACATTTACATGACTCTATCAGGACTTCAATCATGAGACTGAAGCAGTTACAGAGAGTCTGTTTGAATGAGCCTTTAAGGTTTTCAGCCTCTTGTGATGTTTCATCTGAGAACCGCCCCAGCATCCAAACAGATGGGCTCAGATGAGCGTCAGCCTCAAAGTCTACCAGCCTGATCAATTTCTGCAAACACCGCAAGCCATATGTTCTATTACTCCCTGCGAGAGCAAAGACGAGACGCTTAATGCTCTCCTGGCATCTGAGGAACTACTTTTACTTTTAAAGGCAATGTCCCAACAACACCATGAATCAGCTCGGCGTGGAACAAATATGGCTGATGTTGCCGTTAACTGCCATCACAAGCCAACACTTAGGAACTTTGGAAACAACCAATTTGTAGCAAATGTAACAGGACCAGGTGTTTAATGCTGGTGTTTGAGGTACGGTGAATCCTAGACTCCCCTCTAAAGCCACCGTGAAACAGCTCACTTGGAACAGCGGTAAAAACCAGGGGGACACAGATGTGATCAATGATCTGCTTCTCTGAGCTGAAACCCAAATATCACAATCCAGTAAATGTGCAACAGTTTGAAATCAACATAAAATACTCTAGCAAACAATCCCACACTCACTTCAATGTGCTGGAACATGTACGGGTGGTTGCAGATCTTCTTCAGCTGCATGATGGTGTTCATTAAGGTCTTTGCTCCACCTTTGCCCTGCAGAAATGTATGAGAGATAAAATGAGTAAAAAAGACCCAAACAGTCTGGATATGCTGATGCTACTAATCACCTACAAGACCTTATTTTAATTATTAACTATTTTTTAAAAACTTGTGGGAAGTGAAAACAAGGTGTGAACGAAGTTTTGACCGATCCAACATTTGTTTAAGGAACCACGTTCTGATTGATTTGGAGCCGTGTTTGCAGCCTCCTGAGGAACAGAGCGGTGCCGACTCCGTCAGAACTCTGTGTTTGATCTTTACCAACTCATGAAGGAAGGATTTCCTCAGCTTCTAAAATAAGTGGGGACAGTCAGCGTGCACTGGGCTGTTAGAGCGTTTTCAGTTAATAAAAGAAGATGAAAATCTCTCACGAAGCTCAATAAAGTCAAAAGGAGATTCAGATTCAGGAGGCATTTCTTGTCCCAGTTGCACCCGACCCCTAACGTACCTCCTGCGGGTGGTGGGCCATCAGGAGAATGGACCCACGTCCCTTTTTGGGCTGTGCCCGGCCGGGCCCCATGGACTAAGGCCCAGCCACCAGACGCTCACCCTCGGACACCCTCCCTGGGCCTGGCTCCAGGGCGGGGCCCCGGTATAACCCCATCCCAGGCAGGGTGAACTGTTCCCTTGATTGGGCTTCTGAATCGCCCTCTGTCTGGTCTCTCACCCAGGACCAACTTGCCATGGGAGACCCTACCAGGGGGTAGAAGCCCCCGGACAACAAAGCCCCTGGGATCCCTGAGACACACAAACCCTCCACCACGATAAGGCAGCGATTCTCAGAGGGGCTCTTCCCCCCTTTACATGGTCATATTGATGAGCACAATCGTGACGCATCCATAGACAGCACATTGAAAAACACTACACTTCTTTACAACGTCTTGGACGTAGGTAACACTGACTAGTTTGTTTTGAACGCAGATCATGGGCAGAATATTCCCGCGAGTGCTTTGGTTAAAAGAAATGAAACTAAAGCTGGAAATTAAAATGTAGCTTCAGGAGTCAAATTAAATTTATAATATCCAATTAAATTATGCAAACATAGCAAATGTGCACTCAAAGAAAGTTCAAGGTCCTTCTAATGTCAAACAGCAGGCAAATCACTGCAGACTCTTCCCAAAGGCTTTGTCGACACACACAGACAGAACAAAGCGACACAGCGGAGCCACCGAGGAGCTGACGATCTACCTTCTTGTCTTTCTCTGAGCCGTCAGTGAGGAGGATGCCTTTCTGCATGTGGCGGTACAGAACCTTCTGTATGGCAGACATGTCACACTTTATGACGTACTCCACCTGTGAACGACAACATAAATAATTAAATGAAACTCCAGCGGCACAGTGGTGTCTTTTCAATAGTGAGGCTGTTTGAGCCAAATCCACAATCCCCATCAGTCAGCTCAGCACTGACAAAATACACTAATGAGAATGAAAATAAAGGCGTAAAGAATAATCCCAAAGAACGAGCTGTGAGGTTGTGCTTCAAAGTCATCTCCTTCAAAATCTTTCATTCTTTTTAATAACTATGAATGGTCAGAAGAAGGCTACGGATAATTTCCTGTCATCAGTTAAGGTGTCTGGCTCTGGGTCACAACAGTTAAGCAATGCAACCGTAGAAGTTGATAACAATGTGTTTAGGTCACACAGACTACTTTATCTCCTTTTCTTCAATTACTTTCTGAAACTCCTCCGGCACAGTGTGGCCAGGATCTCGATGCAGTACTTACAAACCTGCAGCTTCAATTACTTTGGAAAGCAGGAATGTTGCATCCAAGGTCAGCAAAGACTATCCCGTTCCTCAAAGTGTAAAAACAGCTGCATGTAACCTTGAAATCAGCTCAATAGGAGCGACTTACACATGCATTACATACAAACAGCAGTGCAGGTTTGGTGCACTGAGAACTCTGCAGCGTCCTAAATCAACGTTCAGTCGTGTTAACCTCACCTTCTCTGGCAGCTGAGACTCCACCTCTTTCTTCAGCCTGCGCAGGAGAAACGGGCGGAGCACTTTGTGCAGACGCCGGATGATCAAGATGGTTTCCTCCTCGTTTAAGTCAACCTGAACACGTCAGAAAGAGTGAGAGACGACGCCTCGCAGCTGCTTGTTTCATGCAGAGTGACGAGATTCCTACCTGCCGACATGCTGCTTTAAGCTAAACCGTCATTTAACCCAGAAGTAAAACTCTTAAGAGAAAGAAGCTCTTTTGCATGTGTTTCCTTGGCCAACTAAGGTTGTTATTATCACGCCATGTTCTGCATGGCGTGATAAACGAGAGCTCCTGGAAGAAACCCATGCTGGCACACAAAGAACATGCAAATTCCAGACAGAAGGGTCCGGCCTGTTTCCAACCACTGACTCACTCTGCTGCCATTATTACACATCACTTAAAAACTAATTGATGATAAGAAGCGTGCCTGAATCCACTTTTTCCTTAAGGGTGCCTTTTTAATTAAAAATTGTTATGTTTGGTCACGGTGCTTCTGTTGCACCCAGGGCACCAAATTGTTTTTCATGAACTAAAACAGCTACTACTAATGCAAGAAAGCAAAAGTACGCTTTTAAATATTCTTTTCCTAAATCATGCAACGCTTGTACAGCTGGAAATGAGCAGAACAGGTTCCCTTTAGTAAAACGAAAACTTATTTTTCAGCTTAGAAATCATCTATAACTTTTAATTATATGCATCTAGACAAGTAATATGAGACGAGCTGTATGTAATCTAAAGATGAAACGTTGAACTTTGGGAGCGGGCACTGCTACGGGGGATTTGAAAGTTTTGCCTACTCCCACATGAAAGGTGTCCACATGTTTGATATGACACGACCCCAAAGGGCTGTGTCCTCTCCTAGCATTGAACCGGGACCTTTGTCCAAACCGCAGTCCCATGACTGCTGAAACTGCAAACTGAGCACAGACAGATATCAGAGACCACTTCCATGCTGGCTACCGCTCGTTCAGCCTACTGCGCTCTGGAAGACGGTGCAGAAGCATCGAAAGCAGTCGAAACCGCTTCTAAATGTAGAGACTTCTAAATGAGACTCACTGAACTTTCCAGGGGCAGGAAATAAAATTCCCCGTGGATACTCAGAATTACATTCAGAACACTTCCAGAGTCTTAATGCAGTGGGTATAAAAACATTCTCCCTTATGCATTTAAATAAGCCGTGTTAAATTTTAGATATAAATGACCTCCCTTTGCTTCCTTGCCAGGAGTAATGAAACATGTGACTGCTGCAAAGAAAAGCAGTGAGCTGAGGGGAACAGATGGAAGCAGCTCCATTTAACAGCTTTAAATGGGAAGTATTTCTGTGTTCAGTAAAAATCCGCCCTGAAAATACAGTTTTTAAAAGGATTTCAGTTTTTACACAGAAGCTTTGGCATTTTCTGATAATGAATGATAATGTCTGTACTTATCATCACTTTAAAAGTTTTAAGTGGCCTTGATCCAAATGACATGAAGGACTTATTAACCATTTATGTGCCCGAGGTTCCTTCTGATGGTTCCTGCCCTGAGTGAGATCACGACAGCAGCCAAAGTGTAAAACTTCTTCAGTCTCTTTAATCACAGAGCTTTCAGAAATGATTCATCTCTGTCTGATATCTCCTTTGTAAATTTATACTACATGACAACACAAAATGCATTATGTATTATTATTTGATCTACGAAGGTTAAAACTAATTATTAACTTGATTTGCAAAACCCAGACTTCAGCATCAGCCAGTGTTAGCTTAAAACTAAAACACTGGTAGCTCTCCTGGCACCTACCCTCTCTCCTGTCATGGCGAAGGGTGCGTTAAACCACTGCTCGAAGGTGCTGCAGCACTTGAAGATGGTGGGCAGCAGGAAGTTGAGCAGGGCCCACAGCTCGGGCAGCTTGTTCTGCAGAGGAGTCCCGGTGAGGAGCAGCCGACGGGGGGCCACGTAGTGCGTGTTCAGCACCTGTGTCAGTTTACAGTGGTGGTTCTTCATGCGGTGACCCTCGTCAACGATCATGTACTTCCAGCGAATCTGTAGGAGACACAAAACAGAACCCGAGTGCAAATTAGCATTTTAAATATTTCAGTTTGTGTCTCAGTCGTCACTGCAGGATTTTGATTTTGCACTTTGACGACCGTCAGGCTGCAGAATAATTCTAAATACAAACAACAAGCTTCTGACTCCGCCTTTTATTTAGCGTGTTGATGACACACGTTCTCATCTGACCCGATGAAATCTTTGTGCCCCCTGTCATATAATATGTATTATGAGCACAAAAAAGCTGTAAAATGTCAATAAAAACAGAATTCACTGATTGCAGATCTCATATTTTACTCACAACAGAACAGAGAAAACATATTACGTGTTTCAACTGAACAAATGCACAATTTTAGGTGAAACATTGGCTCATTTTGATTTTGATGGCAGCAACACATCTGAAAAACAGTGCGAGTGGGGGCAACAAAAGGCCGGAAGCTTTCCTCCAGCTGCTGCGCTCCTCAGCTCCAGATGTTTGATGATGTTAAAATAAGAGAGGATGCTGCACAGTGGCAAACTGTTGTTTTGGAGACATATTGCTGCCATCAGATACAAAATGAACAATTATTTCACTCGGTTTAAACATTTGATGTGTTTTCTGTGTTTTGTTGTGAATAAAATACAGTTTTGTAAGATTTGCACATCACTGTGTTCTAGTTACATTTCACACAGGAGTCAGGTTTGTTCATCACAAGTAATAAAACTTGGTGTTATTGCAAAACTTTTATGTTAATAAAATACAATTACTGCCAGATGCACATATTTAACCTTTAAAAAGCCTCGAGTGAGAAAAACAAAAATCTGAATTTTAGCTGAAGATGAAAAGTTTGTTCATTAAAAACAACAAAATGTACAAAGTGCAAAAGCGAGTCAGTGAATAATGCACGATGCATGACTTATTCAACTGAAGAGATGAAAAGCAAAGCGAGGAAACATCTCTCAAATTACTGCATGAAACAAACAACAATCACAGTTCTGCTGCTTTTCCAGACTTTTTGCTGATTTGAGCTTCGGCAGCAGCGGTGGATGGAAGCTCACCATAATTTCCTTTTGCTCATTTTGTGGATATTTGTGATGGAGATGCTGCAACAGGGTTCAAGTTAGGAAGCGGATTACAGATAGAAGAAAGAGGTTTGATCCTTTTCACCTTAGCCAGTATATGCTTGTCTTTGATGATGTATTCATAGGTGGTCAGCAAGACGTTGAACTTCCCGCTGCGGAGCTGAGGCACCAGCCCACGACGCAAAGCAGGGGTGCCCTAATATGTGGAGAGACATAGAAGAGACAACGTTCTGTCGTAAAAAGCAGAAAATCTGAACATCTGTGATGTGAAAAAAGAGACTAGACTAAAAAACAGAGATTTGTCTCACCTTGTAAGCAATCTTAACCACAGACGGAGCCCATTTGTCAAGCTCATAGACCCAGTTAGACAAGGTCCTGAAAACAGCATTTAAATGTGGTCAGAATGTTTTTAGCAGTAAAGGCAGAGTCTTCAAAGACGACAGATTCATCAACACTTCATTTACAAAAACAACCAAAGAAACCATGAAAATGCACAAAAGCAGAGACTTGATGAGCTCTTGCTCAGTGGCACACTGGCACAAACTGCTGTGTGCTAAAGACCAGACAGTTTTAGGCTTTACTCCATATTTGCACACTACGCATATTCAAGAGCACATTACACACAGTGGCCTTGAGCAGCGAATTAAGCCTCCGCTCAGCTTCCATCACTTAGAAAGAAAAAGTGCTCTGCTCATTAATCATTAAAAAATAGGCTTGCTTCTAAAAACACAACCATTGTTCACTCTAATCTTCCAACACCTGCAGTTAGAAACCAACATTAAAAGGAATAACAATTAAAAAGCCGAGTGTTTTCCTGCACTCTGCACAAGGAGCACACTTTCATCAGCCTTAAACCACTTTGAATTTTCACCCTTGGACAACAGCACGCTGGTTTCCTGCTGTTTGTAAGTGAAAAACAATGAGGGGAATCACACACTTCATGAAGCTGGATCAGTAATTGGACATATTCCCACACTCTGAAAACAGTTTATTTCGACCACACCCCGTAAAGTCATCAGTTATTCACATTATCAGATATTATTTTGTAATGGACAACAATGCATTATGGGTTGTTTCTAGCCTTAATGTTGCACAGTTATAAAGTGTTCGTGAGGACTGTGTGAGCGGCCCCACACATGAAATAAATACAAGCCTCTCTACTCATCATTAAAACTGCCATCAAATAATTTGGCTCCTTTGACCCTATAATGAGATGCACACACGGCCTTGTACTAAAATTCTGCATCTTTATTCGGGCCAAAAACACACTCAGACATGCTAATTATCCTCCTGTGCTGTTTTAGCAGGTTAAAAAACTAAACTGTGGCAGAGGTGATGTCTTTGGCTCTGCAGCAGGGGAGCGGTGGTGCAGCAGGCGTAATCAGGTCTCTCCCTTTTTAGTGACGCCGGGAGCTGGTGACAAGCTGATTGATTGGACCGAAGACTGTGCTAAACCCAAAAAGTACTGTGAAAGCACAGTAAAGAAAAGAAAGCCATAACCAGAACACCGTGTGGTTTGAGGGGCGTGCAGGGTCACATAAACGTTATTGATGATGTAATGCCTCTGTCCTGCTGCAGTCTCTAGAGCAGTAATGTCATATCCAGGTGGTATCTCTCCCACAGGGCAAGCTTCCATTAGCAGTTAGCATTAACTTCACTGCTTTGGCTACATGAGATGTTCTGATTACTCAGAGCAATGATTCATTTCTCCTGCAGTTTAAATGTTGAATGACGAGCTGCACCCGTCCCTAGCGTACTCTCTCAGGTTATTTCAATAACACAATCTGAGTGCCAAGCAGCTGCACTGACGTATCTGAATAAATGCAATTTGATTGGCTGAACTTTTCTCTGCACCTTGCCTCAATTATCACAGGCAAAGCAAACCAGCAGCTCCACAATTCAGAAGAGAAGCGAGACCTCAAAGACGTATGTGTGAGTGTCTGCCCGTGCCTCCATCCGCCTCATACTAACAGGAAGTGGCCTAAGAAGACCAATTTAACTTCAATAACAATAAGCACCTTCGTGCACAATGCATTTTTAATGCAGCTGTGAGCAGCTGGAACCATTTCTTTTCCACACTGCAAAGTGAAAAATATCTGCAGTAGTATTCTCGTACCCTGTTTAGTATGCACTGTACTTGATATTGTTCGAATAATTACGAAGCATGAATTTGGACTTATCACAGTGAGATGGATGTGACCACCTGACACTTGAGCAAACACCAACTCTCCTGCTTTCCATTACAGCCCGCGTACTGCTCAGGCTATTTCACTGTGAGTCTACAGGGGCGTGTGGAGAGCACAAATCTATTAGAAAGATATAAAAACACACATTTTTTTCTTATTACAGCGCCCCTTAATTCCAGGTGCAGTCATGCTGAAAAGCAGTTTGTGCTTTTTCAAATGGATGCTGAGTCCATGTACCAAGGCTGAAGCTGATAAAATATAGCCTATGCCTTTTAAACAGGTTCCTGGCACCGATGGAAATAGCTAAAAGGACAGGAAGGGAGTGAGGGAGCACTCATAAGGATCTTCAGGGTAGTTTACATGTAGTGCTGCTAATACACGAACAAAAAGAAAGCCTTCACACGAATGATTATCATTTGAAGTTCTTTTCAAAGGTGACTCTAATAATGTTGGATTTTAGGGTGTCATGACATTGCGAGATAAGAGCCACGATTGATACTGGAAGAGAAGTACTAACGAGAGAGGAACGATGATGACAAAGGGACCATTGAGCCTCTTGTGCTCCATCAGGTAGGTGATAAGGGCGATGGTTTGGATGGTTTTGCCGAGCCCCATTTCATCAGCCAAGATGCCGTTGAGATTGTTGTTGTACAAGGACACCATCCACTCGAGCCCCTGAATCTAAAACACAGAGAGGAAAGCATGAGCGTGCTCTGTGTGCACACAAAACACACAAACAATAAAACGGTGAAGACGAAGAAAAAGGAGAAATTCACGTCTAACTAGATGTTAAAAAGACAATACAATTAATAATGTCCAGAGTTTACAATCATCTATATTCCAACATGAATAATGGAGCTCTCCTTGGCTGCTGTGAATAATAAAAGCAGATATGAAGGCAATCACAGGCACCTGCAACAAGTCAAGTAAATGCATCCTTGGACTACTGTGTTTATCCTATCATAGGGCAGTCCTAACAATCAGGTGATGAAGCTAAAGCAGCCCATAAAAGCTTCTTGCATGTTGAGGATGGTCTGTGTAGCACTACGGGCCTTCTAATGTCTTCTAACATCCAGCTCTGTACGTTTGTTGGTGCAATCTTTGTTTCTATAGCGTCCCACTGTGGAGCAGCACACTTGATTTCTCAAACTGTGGGGCGGGGCCTGCTGTCGGGGCACAGAGCCACTGCGGGTGGGGTGCAGATGGCGACAGGTAAACATACGCCGTGAAATTAAGTTGAATTAAGAAGAAAAGAAGACATTAAAGCGACAAAAGATTACACTGAAACTCATCTTTGATCCTCTTTTTTATTGCTGACTGATTGAATTTTGGATTCTGGGACAAGTGACTTTTTCTGACATGTCAGACTTAATCCAGAAAAATCCAGAAAAGTGCAGAAATTATACATGTCTTAAAGTTTTTAAACCTAACTAGACACACATATCCATGATGTCATGCTGTGCCTTTAGCTGTGACAGCCTAAAAGACAGAACTGCCAAACATATGGAATCTAAAGGCATTTCTTCTGCCTCTGTACTTGTAAACGTGCAAACCTTTAGACCTTTAGAAGAAGTTAAGTTGACATTTTTCACTGTGAGCTTTGCCGGCTAACTTGATGTTACTGCCACAGCATTTTATATCCTAAAGCATTAGGAGAAAAATAACTCTGTGGGGAAACAATCAGCGAAGGACGGTCTGAGGAAAGGTCAGGAGGACAGTGGCAACAGAAAAGGTGACCAATAAACTGCACAATACTTCACTGCATGCAGCGGCAGAGCTAATTGCAGAGATGAAGGTTGTGAAAAGAAATTCCCAACTGAATGCATAGTCTCTGTGAATTTAGGTTTGCTATATATACACTGACACCGCAGACGTTTGATCCGATTAATGGATGTCCAATTTTCCCCAAGCAGCGCGCCATATCTCATTTTAAATTTGGCACACCATAAATCAGACAAACAGGATGACTGCACCGTGATTGGATAGAAAACAAATGCTAGCTGTACCCAGCTGCCAGTTCCAGATCTCTGCCAATATGTCTCTCACGGTCATGTACGCTGCAGCTGAAGACGAGATGAGGGTGTCTGCATCGCTACAGGCAGACAGGCTTGACTAAGACGCATTCATGTGCCTAACAGGAGATGTGTTTGTTTACAAAGCTTCTATCTATGACCGAAGATTGTGACAGTCATCAGCTCTTTGCCCACAGACTCGGGAATATTCAGAAAACCTGAAACCGATTTGTTTCCATGTCCAGAGGGCGGCAACGCCCTCAGTAAATATACTAGGACATCATCACAGAGAGCAGAGGCTAATTTACCTGCACTGAAGAACATAAATACATTTAAGGCTCGAGCTGTTATTTTAACTATCACCTAATTTGCTGATTAAGATTAAGATAAGTCTTTATTAGTCCCACATGTAGGCTTAAGTTAAAGGTTAAGAGAAATAAAGAGGAAGTTTAGTTTTCTGATCAAGGTACTAAGTTTAGTTCGGACCTCTAGGAGGCTGAGAGGCTTTTCTCCCACGAAACGTGATGTTTGTTTACATGAATCAATAATATAAAACGTATCTAACATTTGAGGTGTGGATTCATCGCATTTATCAAATGAAATCGCACTCATCTATAAGAACTTTTTCTTGCCATCTGTGGCCTGTTTTCATGCTGAAGGTAGCGTGTGATGATTATGAAGCTGTTACTGGTGGCACTGAAAGCACAGCAGGAAGTTGGCGCCGGTGCTGCAAGACTCGACAGCTGGACTGTTTCACTCACATTTACAACAAAAATAGACGTGCATGGACTGCAAAATGCATTTAGAATATATGAGAACAGAAAGCATGACAAGACTGTTTTCTTGACAAAAACTGATGAAACGCACACACACAGACACACACACACAGTAATGATGCAGTCCATCAAGTCCAAATACCCAGGGGGAGATAAAGGAACGCCAGCGCGTGTCACTGTAGTCACAATCAAAACCTCTGTGGGTAAAAAGCCAAATGCCTCCCCCCACCGCAGGGAAAAGGGTAACACCACCTGGGTCTGGGTGCAGTTCCCCCCTCCAGGGGCAAGGGCACCTAGACCCGGTTTGTAGAGTACGCTTGGGGAGTGTGATCGTGTGTACAACGTCTCTT